ACCCCACATCCTTTTTTTTTTCTTCTTTTTTTATGACCCCCTCCTCCCGCTCTCTGTATGGTAAAAGTTGAAAGGCTTCTCCGTTCAGCGCAGACAAAGAAACATGGGTTCTGTTCATAGTTAATACCATCCCTGCTTAAAGAAGCTGCTCCTACAAAGAAACATGCACAAAGGAACCCCCCCCTACTTTCCTCTCAGGCATTTTAAAATAGAAATAAAACATAAAGCAAACTATTCAGAGAGCTGGGGATCCGACGCACACTCTGAAAAAAGATTAAAGGCAAACTCAGTTGCCTGCATTCAAGGCTCTTTTCTCCTCAGGTGTTGTAAAACCATAAATCTCTCTTTCTTGTCTGCTATTTGACTTGATTGCAGCCTTTCTTTACGGAGAGCTTCTCCACCAAATGTGTGTGGACCAGGCAACCCCAGTCAAACGGCGTCCTGCTGATGAAAAGAGACGCCGTGTGTGTGTGTGTGTGGGGGGGGGGGGGGGGGCTGAAATAAAGCCACAAAGGCAAACAGCATCTTCTAACAGTCCGATGCTGCTTTCATCGTGTCCAGTCGGCCACACATACAGCTGCAGCCCTACTGGTTTTATTGGGTGTCCAGTGCCCCTCACCCCCCTACTTTCCTGGCTTTTATGGCGTCTTCCCCATTCAGGGTTGCTACAGCATGAGGCAAGTCAAATTCAAGAATTTTTAATGCCACTTGAAGTAAAAGGAAACACCAACTTCACAATAACCACAAGAAAAACCTGATTGCGAGAAATTTACCTAAATTTTTCTTTTAACAGTAAACATAACATGCTGGCCCAGGATGAATGTTTCATCCTTCCATTTTCTGTGACATTAATCCCAAGCAGGGTCTCGAGGGCTGCTGGTCTCCAGCTGCCTACACCTAAGGAGAATTTAGAGAAGCCAATTAACCTAAAGGTCACATTTTAGGACTGGTGGAGGAAGCCGGTAGCCTCGTGAGACCATCCTGATCTCGCGATCTCTCGCTCGCATCTCAGTCTGGCTACTTTCCGTTAAAGAAAATTTGGAGCCGTTCACCAAACGAACGTCCAATCAGCGTTGGCTTTGAGGCGGGTTGAGGTGTGACGCAACGAGAAGCGCGACAGTTCAGTCTAAAGAACATGGCGGCACTCAAACACGTTCCTTTATTAGGCTGAGACAT